CAATAAAGTTTGTTCCTGTTTAACAAAGAATCTTTTCTATCAAATTATGTTTCTTGGGATGCCTATTTTCAAATTCGTAAGAATTTTCAAATTGGTTTTATATTAAATTTTTAATTCGCTTAACGATGCTTACTATTATTTCAAAAGACTTGTGAAGGATTATTAGTCTTATAAATTTTGGTATTTTATATGAGGTAGTTCATTTGCCCCAGCAAGGTAACCGGTACAATTACAAGTAATCAACAGATCTGGCCCTCCGGCTGCAAGTCGACATAGCAAGCACGGTCAGCTTGAAGTAGTACCTCATCTACTTGCGAGGGTTTAATTCCCAGGATGAAAGAGCCATCTGTCTGTTTTGAGGAAGCCCACATTTAAGGTGACTATCTCCACTTCATATCCATTGCAGGACAAAGCAACATAACTTGCCCTTGGAAGAGATTAAGAAACTCTCTATAGATATGTATCGAAACGTAGTAATAACCACTAAGTTCCGCGCCTTTCCAAACTTTTAGCGGAAATGAGGAGCAAACTCAGAATCGGGAAGTTCTCAGAAAAAAAAATGCAATCATGATAAAGCTCATACTAGACTGCCTTAACAGCAAAACTCCCTGCAATCTACTCTTAGTTGTCTTCTGGATATAAGAACGTCACCAGTTTGAGGGCCATTATATCTCCTCGGTAAGTTTTGGTAATGCTGTACTCTTCTTTTAGATACAAGTTAGGCACGCGCTGATCTCGCCATTGTCTGTTTTGAACCCTGGTAAAGTAGATGTCCCATCTCATGAAGATTTCAACCGAAAACCCTAAATGTGTGATTTGATTGTGTTGGGAGTGTAGCCTGACCAAAGGCTAGCAACCTTGCAGGCTCTCCTGAGACGTCGGGCCTGCCGCCAACTGCCATAATGACCCCTTTGTCAACAGAGGACTGCCCTCAAGGTCATTTACCTTCGCGGTGGTTATGCCCACGCGATGACTGTCCACACACAATGACCTCAAACCGGACACATGCACGCGCGTCAAGGCGCGTGCCCACATGGTCGCAGTCCCTCAAGGGCCAACTGGTCGCGTGACCTTATCCCGATGCGGCCAGTGATGCCACAAGTGAACGCGCTTTACAACCATGTATAAGCCACTGTCATCTCTCAGGTAGTCAGTTGCAACACGGACTGCGATGACACCACCAGTCCGCTCCCGACTGACGGGTTGAGCCCCAAAGCGGGGGCAGTCAGCGCGCTGAAGATCAACCAACAGCCACTGCCACCCGAGACAGCAACTCTGGGTTTTGTACACAATAAACTCCCCTCCGGGTGGATTCCAAAGTTACGCTCTTCTTACTGTGTTCTCACTTGGGGATTCCAACGGGCGTAACTAGACGGTGACACTACTGAAGTCAACCTTATAACAGATTGGAGCAAATTATTTAAGTGTGATTCTATTACTGATTATAGTACAGCCAAATCCCAAAATATTTAAATAACCTCGAACTGTTGCCTTTTGAACGAGATTCCTTCAGATCGAAGCCATTTTTTACAAAATACACATATTGCGGGTGGTCAGAAAGAATCACTTTCAAAAGCCGAAATCCTGACGTCACTGAAATATTTTGGGATCAAGATGAGGGATAATATGTATCACAACCTTGCTAAAGTAATTTGTTCTAATCAAACGCGTATTGCAGAATTTCGGTTGATGTTTCACTGTAGTGCTTAGGCCAGCGACCTGGCGGTTTGCGTCTGAATTACTTTATCGACATTTTGACTATCGTTATCGACTACATCCAAAGTATACCCTACAGCAGGGTGGTACAGGGACGGCGACTTTTGTGTGAAGTTTATCATACTACTAGGAATTGACTTGCATTGAATCTACCGCACCCCCTCCCCATCCGGGCCCGGTGTCCTGACCAAGGCAGTCTGACTCTCAGTCAGCCAGTTAGTGACTGCATCCAGAAACACTTCGGGCTTAAGGCGCGGTCTGCGTCCAGTCGTCATTTAGCAGCCATTTATTTTATAAAACATACTTATTGCGGTCGAGCAGAAAGAATCCCGTTTCGAAAGCCAACATCCTGACGTAACTGCACTATTCTGAAATCAGACTGTGGGATAATGTGTACCACAACCTTACTTAAGGCATTTTTTTCGAATTAAACAAGTATTTAAGAATTTCGGTTGACTTTTCAGCAGGATAGGCAATCTACTGTTACCCAGTCATCATTTGGCAAACTTCCAAGCCATGAATCCTAGCGTCTTCGACTACTTCCAACGTATACGAAACAGCAGGGTGGTACAGGGACGGCGACTCGTGCATGAAGTATATTATAATAAGAACCGACTTGCATTGCATCTACCGCACTCTCCACCCATGTGGACCCGGTGTCCTGACCAAGGCAGTCTGACTCTCAATCAGCCAGTCGGCGACTGCATCCATCGCTTAATGCGAGGTCTGCGTCCAGTCATTATTTGGCAACCCTCCAAGCCATGGCTTCAAGCGCGCCGTGATAGCTTCAAGAGCGTCAGATTGTTTGCAGGAAGAAAAATGGACTAAGTCACCGTCCGAACGAGTCATCTGACTGGTGCGAATAATGGCCGCAGTTTTATAAGGAAATCGTATGTACCAGCCATAAAAACGAACAGAAAATGTCATGTAAATAGGAATTGAAGTGAAATTATATGCTTTAATTTTGGGAATCGGCGATTATTTGGGAGGCGATAATGCTCTGTAAAATACACTTGTAAGGCTAAACGCAGGTGTATCGTCGTCAACATGATCCCTGCAGTTGACCACTATTTAAATTGGCGTACACTAGTAAAGCATTAGTATTAGCCTATTCGACTTCGTTAAGAAGAGCATTCGCAAGTTTGTAAGGACAGCAAGTGGCGATGAGGTAACTTTCAGTGCCAGGGAGGGAGAACAATGGATAAACTGTGAGACCTGTTCATCCCTCATTCTGCAAATAAGACAGTCGTCCTTCGATCTCGGTAGCAATGGGAGGAGACCAAGGCTATTGACTTACTGAATGAAAATAATCTGTCCTCACAAACGACGAGAGCAGCAGTTGGCCTTCCCGTACTCCAGTTAGCGAGACGCGTCCATTGTCCCAAAGGTCGCTGATTGTCGGGCGGGGTGAAGACATCGACTGTGTTCATGTACCCCTGGTCATTGCGGCCCCCAGCAATGAAAACGCTGTCCCTGAATGCAACGGCCGCGTGCTCTGCACGTGGCTCTAGCATGTCAGCAGCATCCTCCCAAAAGACGTTCGATGCTTTTAGTTCTCCTTGCCAGTCTGCTGGCTAACGGAGGTGACATGTCTCCACTGAAGAGATCGAGTAGTCAGATAGGAAGGAAAGAGAATTCCCCCCAATAACAAACACGCGTCCGTCTGGCAATGCAACCGCGGCAGAGCGTTTCCTTTGTCGTTTCAAATTAGGCAGTTCATGCCATCTGCAGAAGAAAAAAAAGGGTACTGAAAGTGACGGCAACGTTTAACGAATACAGATGTATCCTCCTTCGGGTGATTTAGTCGGTACATTAAATGGAACACATAAACGCTCAGCAAAGCACACTTAAAGCCGTCACATGGAAGTTGGCTAAATAACATAATAATCCCTCTCGCGGTGAGCAACGTTGGATGCCTACCGTGACGAGTGTCCCGGGCTCCATAGCGATAGCCACTGGACACAATGAAAACCTTTCTTCGGTTTGTTAAAACGTCAAGTGGAATAATCAGCTGAATTTGCGCGGACCTCGACTGACAACCACAAAACTATAAGGTGTAGGAAGACCTGATTGGAAATGGACATGAAAATAAGGGCTTACTGAACAGATAGCAGATATGAAGCCTTCGCTTTGGGACGGTAACATGGCCGAATTTACCATTCAAAATGTCCATGTCACTATCAATCAGTAATGACACCTCACAAACTTACTTGTCTTCCTGCGGAGAATAGAGCGCATATGCGTCATCCGAGCTAAAGAAGGTGGTTCTGCCTCCACACGCGCATATCATGGTGTCCTCACCAACTGGGACAGCGACTGCCGTATATGTCGAATACCATCCGGCAAGCGGTGCACATTCCGCCCATCGGTGTTCCCTCGTATCAAATTTCTCAACGCGCGTCAAGTAGCCGCTCTGCTTGTGTCCTCCAATGACAAAGATGCACTCTGTTTTGGGGTAACGAGAAGCGAAGTAGAAAAAGATGTGGATGGAGAGGGTTAAATGCATTAATGTCAGGCTTCAATAAGGTGGTATTAAACGCCACAGCAGGCCCTATACTGTTACTCAATGGTTATGACAATAGCGCTCAATTTTAACAGTTTTTCTTACGATGGTGTTGCCGGCCGACAGGGATTACTCAAAGGCCTTTCACAATTCACTATAGTTTGCGACTGTGGGCTCCTCTAAAGTTAACCAGAAGTCAGCACAATGCCACGTTTAAAGATTTGAGAAAAGGGTATTTACGCAACGCGATCTTTATTAAAGAAGAATTAAAGTTGACGGATGTTTAGGAAGTGCCCCTATAACCATGCGTTGCAGACTACATGAAACACGTTGATCTCGTTACAGAGCCAACAAACTACTTCCATGGGTTGGCCGCGATTGTTTAAATTAAATGAAAACAACGTTAAGCCTGTCAAAAGTTTGAGTAAATAACACTAACTTTTAATGACCACAAAGGTCGCATCCAATCTAGCCGTTACGTCTATAAGCTTCCGCGACGTTTTGGTCTCAGCATCGTAACGGGTAAGAAAATATTGCCCTCCGGTCGCTGACCTACCGAGCAGACAGATTTTCCCCAGTGGATTTCGGCGTGCGTTATTGAATGGACATTTTCTGTTCATTCTCCAGTCTGGATATGCGATCCAGTTGCTTATACGACCTAAAAGTCGTCTTAAATAGATCGAATAGCTAAATGTGGTGCGACAACTTACGAACATCCTAAATTTTTATTCCAGAAGCCTTCGTCATCATCCTGTAGGTCGCAGCGGAATTCGCTATCAATTTAATCCCATCGCACTTCCCTCATCATCGCTTCTGCGTGCCGCAATCGTCCTTTATCCACTTTGCCGAGTGGACTGACCCAGCATCCAATCGCCTTTAGTACAGTTTCTTCGCTATCCACTTGAAGGTCATCTGCCCGCAGCAAAGACAGGACAGCATCAGCGGCCAGCTGAATGAAAAAATCGTTGGCAACTGTTGCCTCAAAGGTAGCCTTCATGTGTTGCAGGCAGGCGTCACTTAAACTGTCACTGTTCAGCAACTGCGTGAGTTCCCAGTTATTAGCAATGTTTTCAGAATTCAGCCTGCGATTCAATGATAAGGCGAAAATGCTTACCTGGCCGCCATAAAACGCACTGCCCACCCTTCCACTTTAGGCATTGCGAGTTGTTGCGACAGCACAATCAGACCAGTCGCAGTGGCTTCCTGAACTACTAGCTGGCCTGTATAAATATAATCTATGATAATCACGTATCAGAACTTGAAAGACAAAAAACAAAGACAAAAATGGGAGACCATTACTCAGCCAGCTTTTGCAAACCAACAGTCTGCAGCAAAATATATAAACTTATCTTTCAAAACCCTCGTAGCAACAGAGGAGTTTTTGCTTTCAAAATGGATGAAATGCAACTATTCTGATGCTAATTACCTGAAATAGTTAAATCCAGATTCACGCTCTCTGCTGAGACCAAGGGGATATGAGCCCCAGCGTTGGCTTAATCAGCGTCACCTCTAATAAATGCGGGCGTCAGTGCCAACACCAGTATTACTATACTTTTGTCGAGAGTTAGGGTACATGAGCCCAGTGCTAACCTTAATCAGCGTCACTTCTGATTTGCACAACAGTCAGTACCAGTACTAGCAAGTACTATA